TCTGTCTGTCTGTCTGTCTGTCTGTCTGTCTGTCTGTCTGTCTGTCTGTCTGTCTATCTATCTGTCTATCTATCTATCTATCTGAAGGAAGTTCTGTGATCTTTGACCAGAAAAATTTTAAGCTAGAATACAATAACAGAATAGAAGATAACTGTATAATATTGTCCCGTACTAGGTAAAAGACAACTTGAGCCCTCCCTTCGGAACTTCCTTGACCTACTTCACACGTATTTGACCTACTTTGCACTTACTTGACCGATTTCACACTTACTTGACATATTTCACACTCGCATGACCTTTGACCTACTACGTACATCAGTGGTTTCAGTCTCCATTCTCGCGAGGCCATAACATAATTGGTCGCTTTTACTTTTAAGGACAAGCGGGCTAACCCAGATTTCGGGAGTTTCCAGAAATCTTGACCTACACCAAATACATAATGCACGAAATGCGCTTTTTACTTATTTTAAGAATTGGGAAAGGAAAAGGGGGGGGGGGTGCGGATGCAAAATTTAGTTTGTACCTCTTTTTGTCAGAATCAATTTTCAGTTTTATTTTTACCTGTGCTTGGCAGGTGGTGTTTCTACCCGGAGTCGAGATTGTGGTGATCCTCAAGGCTGCGGTGGGCCTGGGTTCGAGTCCGTGCCATGTAACGAAGAGCAATGCATTGGTACTCTGTGTGTGTTTGTGTGTGCGTGTGCATGTGTGTGTGTGTGTGTGTGTGGGTGGGTGTGTGTGTGCGTGCGTGTGTGTCTGTCTGTGTTTGTGTATGTCTGTTTATGTGTCGTGTGAGATATTATATGTCTGTCTCTGGCTCTCTCTTCTCTCTCTCTCTCTCTCTCTCTCTTTCTCCTACCCTCCTCTCTCTCCATCTCTCAGAATCCCCCCTCCCTCTCTCTTTTTCTTTCTCTTTCTTTTTCTCTCTCTCTCTCTCTCTCTCTCTCTCTCTCTCTCTCTCTCTCTCTCTCTCCCTCTCTATTTTAATAAACATTACTCCCATGTTAAGAACGTTGCATTGGCTTTCCGTGTCAGCTAGCATGACAAAACTCCCTCATGTCTTAGAGGTCTCTTCCAGATTTATGTTCCATCTGGATCACCAAGATCAGGCGATCAGTATATTTTAAGAGTTCCTAGAAAAGGGGGTAAAAAATTAGCTGAAAGATCGTTTGCCCACCTTGCTCCATCAATTTGGAACTCTCTTCCCCTGCCCTTGAGACATACAACACCTGAGTCTAAATTTTAAAAATCTTTAAAGACACATTTAATTTAATGACATCATTGTTATGTCAGTAGATTCATGTTCAGTACAATGTAATGTAAATAACTATATATCTATATATATGTATTTTGCGAATTGCATTGTGTATAATATTATTTTATTATATAAGTGTATGTGCTCATTTCGTAACGATGAGTAAGCGTGCGCGTACGAAAAGCAAGTAGATGTGTGTGTGTGTGT